GAAGAGATCAGATGTGCTAAAACATTAGCCACATTTAAATGCAGACTCAAAACTCATCTGTTTAGATGTGCATTTACTGAATGAGCACTGTGCCATGTCCGAACTGATTGCACTGTATTTTATGTATAATCGTTTTCTATTCATAACTGTTTTAAATTCACTTTAAAGCTCTTAAATCAATTTTTAAATCGTTTTCAAAGTTTTAAATTCCTTGTTTTATTGTTGTTATAATTTTTTTTTTTTTTCTTTTATGTAAAGCACTTTGAATTACCATTGTGTATGAAATGTGCTATATAAATAAACTTGCCTTGCCTTGTGTGCTAACTAATATCTAAGATATCTCAGGACATGGAAACATATTTTACACTGGCAGTCAAAAAGTTTGTCAACTAACTAATTGTTAAAAAAATGAACTTTGTTGAGATATCTCAGTTGTCACTTAATACAACTGCACATTTTAATTTGAATAAACTCACAATTTTAAGTCTAATTAAATGAAATTATTTATACATTTGAAATGAAGAGCAAATTCAATTAACTGTGTCCAAAGGTCTGACTTATATTGTGTATTTTAAGGACCGTCTTATGAAATAACTGTGGCCCGTGTAATGTTTTATGCATGATGTCAGTTCAAATTGCAATAACAATATATATATATATATAAAACATTTTTTTAGCCAAATCGTCCAGGCCTAAGAATTTTAAGAGGAAAACAAAATGAAACACTTAAATACAAATACAAAATATAACACACAAAAATACTGCCATGTGACCATTAACCAACATCAATGAACCATGAACATGGGAATTTATTGTTAAATTATTGAAATATTAACTAAAAGGGTAAATATTTTACTGTTTTAACATCTAAAAATTGCATTTTATGAACATCTTGTATTGATATCTTTCAGATGAGACAGAGATCATAGAGTTCTGAGGAATCTTCAAGCTCCAAATCCTACTAAAACAGATCCAAACGCAGTGAAAACAGCTCATTACAGATGACAACCTGAGTGTTCATACTTCTCTAAACACACAGACATCAGCTTATGAATTTGAATTTTGGAATTCAATAAAGGCCATAAGATGCATTCACAATTTACATTTGACAGATAATTCAATGTTACTGTTTAGTTTTTCATCCCTTTACCTTGGTATCTAAATTAAACAGAAATAAATTACACAGTTGTGGTCAGAATTATTGGCACCCTTGGTAAATCTGATCAAAAATCTGTATTGTTTATCCTTTTGTGCTTGCATTAAAAAAAACACAAACAATCTAACCTTTTAGTGAGTAAAACAAATGACAGTGGGGGAAAATCACTTTATGATTTTTTTGTTCTAATACACTTTAACCCACAATTACTGGTACCCCTAGAAATGATTGTGAGTAAAATATCTCTGTATCATATTCCGATTCATATTTACAATTTTAGCACACCAGGGTGACTACGCTTCCTGTTCCATAGGATTATAAATATGCGAAACAACAAATGCCAAATTCCCTTAATCATCAGATCATCATCATTTTTCACTGAATCATTTTATTATTACATTTAATCATTTACAATAATCATTATAGCCATTTATATACTCATTTCATTGATTCATTACTCGACAGGTTTTGGGCATTAGACAATTTTGTTGTTCTGTTACCAGACAAAATGGAGGCTATTTTATTTTTATGCATGATTTAACATTCAAAAACATACTCCAGCATATTCATTTGTCAGACACTACTGGAACTTCAAATGGGACTGGGTTTTATTGTCACCTTTGTTTATATAGCGCTTTTAACAATACAGATTGTGTCAAAGCAGCTTTAGACGTTGGTTTTCAAAAACCACAATGGACCAACACCAGCAGATGATATTGCACCCCAAATCATCACAGACTTTGGAAGCTTAACACTGGACTTCAAGCAACTTTGGCTATGAGCTTCTCCACCCTTCCTCCAGACTCTGGGACCTTGGTTTCCAAATGAAATACAAAACTTGCTCTCATCTGAAAAGAGGTAAAAGAGGTACCTTAGCCCAGGTAAGACGCCTCTGACGTTGTCTGTGGTTCAGGAGTGGCTTAACAAGAGGAATACGACAACTGTAGCCAAATTCCTTGACACGTCTGTGTGGTGGCTCTTGATGCCTTGACCCCAGCCTCAGTCCATTCCTTGTTAAGTTCACTCAAATTCTTGAATCGATTTTGCTTGACAATCCTCATAAGGCTGCGGTTCTCTCGGTTGGTTGTGCATCTTTTTCTTCCACACTTTTTCCTTCCACTCAACTTTCTGTTAACATGCTTGGATACAGCACTCTGTGAACAGCCAGCTTCTTTGGCAATGAATGTTTGTGGCTTACCCTCCTTGTGAAGGGTGTCAATGATTGTCTTCTGGACAACTGTCAGATCCGCAGTCTTCCCCATGATTGTGTAGCCTAGTGAACCAAACTGAGAGACCATTTTGAAGGCTCAGGAAACCTTTGCAGGTGTTTTGAGTTGATTAGCTGATTGGCATATCACCATATTCTAATTTGTTGAGATAGTGAATTGGTGGGTTTTTGTTAAATGTGAGCCAAAATCATCACAATTAAAAGAACCAAAGACTTAAACTACTTCAGTCTGTGTGCACTGAATTTATTTAATACACGAGTTTCACAATTTGAGTTGAATTACTGAAATAAATGGCCTTTTCCACGACATTCTAATTTATTGAGATGCACCTGTAATTACATCTGTGTCTTTTAAGACGGGGAAGTACAAGGCATGATGGGAAGTTCGTTCATGTTGTTGGTGAATTCATGCCAGAGAAGTAAAGACGCTGTTGGTAAAATGTTAAAGGTGCAAGGTGATTGTCTTCAGAAACATTTTTTGTTATGCTGGCTGAAAGTGTGCAGACAGAGCGAGAATGGCAGACAAACATCAACAACCCGATCTTCCTTCCTGGTATTGTAGTACTTTTAAAGTTTTCTCGCTGGTGAATGACACATGATGTAGCCCAGCGGTTCCCAATTCCAGACCCCGCGCACATATTTTGCAAGTCTCGCTTAGTTAACACACCCGATTCAGATAACCAACTCGTTAGAAGTGAGCTATGAACTGTGTTCCAATCGATATAATCCCTACACCATGTTCACTGCTCCCTACTCCCCTGAGCAGGGGTTTACTTCACTTCGGAACACGGGCTGGAATTGGGAACCGCTGATGTAGCCTATTGTAGTAATGTTGTCTCTGGTATTCTGGTCTGTGAGCGTATATGCGTTCAGGGGGCATGGCTTTATACAGCGATTGCAGGGAGGGTTTTTACATTTTTAATCACAGTGAAACAATACTTTTTTTTATCATTTTTATAATTTTTGTGAGTGTTAAAAGACAAATGAGCAGTAGGATAAGTTCACCTAACTGAATTCTGTCATTATATACCTCATGTATTTCCACGGCTTCCCTCAGGAACTGCTGAGTAGCTGGTTTAGATTTATGAGTAGCCTAAAATAAGGTCAGTGGTTAACATTACTTCGGACTTTCATCAGAATGTTAAAGCCGCTAAATTGAATTTTAAATTATTTTCTAACAAGTCTCAAAATGAAGACTTTTTCATTACAAACATTAAACGTACAGTGACTTCTATAAACACCTTAAAGAAACCGAGTTGCCTAAACGTCAGTTACGTGAGGTAAACTTCAAGTTCACAACATTGGCTCTCACTTCCATATTTCTTTAGCAAAAGTTACTAAAACATGACTTCATTTGAGTAACACACTGAAAAAGACCATTCAAGACAACACTGTACAAACAAACAAAAAAACACATTAGGCTTTTTTTTTATAGTTCGCCCAATCATTTACTCATGCTGGTGTTGTTTCAAACCTGTATGACTAGAAGAATGATGGGGTCCAAATAACAATAGACCACATTGACTAATTTCTCAAAATATATGGGTGTTTCATGGGAGAAACATCAGAAATATGTGAGGGTGAGTAAATAACAATTGTCATTTTTGGATGAATTGTAATAAAAATAAAATAAAATGTTATTAACAGACACACACAACAATAAAACATGCAACAATTAATTGCTTTTGCCACCATTTCTTAAATGGCAACTTTATTCAAACCCAATACAAGTTTTGGTAGTTGATATTTTTCAGACATTGCAATAATTGAATATTACATAATATGGTAACAAAAAACACATCTTAAAATAATGGCAAAAGCATTTACTTCTTTCTAAATACATTGAAAGAATATAGTAAAATCAATTAAACTAAACTAAATCAAATCTAACTACATAGTCACTGCAGAATACAATATCTGTTACAAGCATCTTTATGATCCAAAGAGAGCAGAGGCAGTTTTCAGGAGTTCATGCATATGTACATATTGATAATCACAATTAGAGCAGAGCACAACTGTGACCAGAGAACTTCCTTGATTCTATTTTAATGCCTATAACAGTTGCTGGGTTAGTGTTTCTCTGCCTTCTCTGCCTTTAAGAAAGAAACACATAGCAACACATTTAACACCAGTCAGGGATAAAAGAAAGCAGAATATGCAGAATATTTCATGACATAAATGACCTTAGATATAAAATATTGATAGAAAAAAAGTTTGCATAAAGCAGTGATAATATAATACAAGAATATACTAAACTAAATAGAATAAAACTATGACAACATTAGTCAACTATGAGTGAATCAAAACCACACCCTTAACACCAAGACGCAAGTCCAAGGAATGCGGGAGTTTCTCATTTGGCTCAAAGAAGCGGAGGCCTTGAAATGGGAAATTTGTTATCGTTTCAGAGACATGGCTTAGAATGCACTTAAAATTCCAGAATGAAATACACACAAAATACTATAGATATTGAAACATGGAAATATAAAAGCAAAAAAAAATGTAATTGAATTTGTTTTACATTTGGATAAAAAAAAACCCCGGAATATTTCTGAATCAACACAGTTATTGCACATTTGCACAAACTACAACAAATGACCTAAAATGACATTTTTATGTTTTTCTTTGAATTATAATTCATAAGCATAAAAGCTTAAAAATGTGCTCAAATTCTTGCAACAAACTTGATGTATTTAGAATACATCTGAATAGCATTCGGACCAACACGGCTAGCACAGACATTTTGTCAAAGTAGCACAAAATGAATTGATATTGTCTGGAAGTGCAAGAATGTGTTCAAAACTATAAAGCAATCAGCAAGGTATTGCACTGTATACCATTATTTTTCAGATTTCACTTTGCTGAAAATAAAAATTACACAATCAGCTCATCATTCAGTAGTTAACGGTCTAGAGAATACCTATTCTGACTAGTATTTTTTTTATTTGATTGTTTTTTTATTCTCAGTAAAAGAGCTTTTCCACAGCCAATTTATGTCATCTAAATGTCATTATGGCACTGTCTATTTACACTGAGTGCAAACACAAAAACTATTTTTACCAACTCAACCCACCAATGCCTAATTTAACTTTATAACAAACAGCATATTAATACTAATCACACTTTGTGTGATTATCATTATTGCCTGCACTAAGTGCTATTTGTTGCTATTTCTACTAGGTACAAACAGTATATACACCTTTTTGCACCCAGTGTAAGTAAAATCTACCCTTTATTATACAGATACACCACCTACACTGTGCACGTCACATCAAAAGCCACACAAAAAACATTAAAATTAATGATACTGTCCACACTGGATGCTTCGTGTCATCATCAGAAACACTATTTCTGACAAAAATGGATTTGCACCCAAATCTTTTTTTGACAGTCTCAAGTCATTGCTGTGTCTTGCATCAACAGTTATGAGAATCGATATAATTTACAACCATATCTCACGTCACCCATACTGATTTTTCTGGCAGACAACATCAGATTTTTTCACACAACCACATTCGATTAGTAGTATGGCTGTGACTGCTGCATCGAGATGAACACGCCTGAAGTGACCACCGTCTATGCACATATTTAGTTTGTTTCTCTTTCTGGTGGACACCAGTGTCATCGCAGGTCCAAGAAGGAAGATGGTACGTATCAGTAAGCTTTCGTCATACCACCAGCATGCTTCTGAATGGCACTTCTAAGTCAAGATGCCAAACCAAGTCTATATCATCACTAAAGCAACCAATGCAGATAACACAGATTGCCAAAAACATCGCAAACAAGACACAGATTCAGCTGATTATATGCAAACAGTGTGGATAATTTGATGAAAAGCAGTGTGAATACATTAAACTGAGGGATGATTTGTGAACGCAGG